GAACATTAGTTTTACATTCATTCCATCATACATCGTCTCATTGCCATCCCGTCCATGCATCATCACCCAACCAAAGGGTACACCCTGCAATCCTGCCCACCCTCCCCTCATGGTCCTCAGCACACAGCCCCTCTCCCTCTCCAGATCCCTATTCCTAAGTCACTCCATCTCTTCACGTCATCCTCTCTGTCTCAGTCTCCGGCCTCACTGCTCCTCTGGGTGGGGTCCCGCTCTCTGCTCTTCTCCACTGATGGTCCCAGGGCCCTCTGCTCCTAGACTGAAAGGTTAATCACTCCCCTCCATGCTATAAAATGTCCACCTTTACATTTCCAGTCCTCACAATCAGTCCTGGTAACAATTATTCACCCTTGCTTCCCAAGGGATCCATCTGCATTTCTTTTCATCTGCCCTTCCTAGACAGGTCAGATACTACTCACTGGACACTCTACCATCCTCCCCGCGCTGTGGATCTAGGTTCCCTCTTGAAAGCTTGTAAGCCAGTCACGTCTTGCCTTTGTATCCCTTCTCCCATTTTGGTTGGTCAATGTTCAAGATGGCTCTCGTATTCTCTTTAGGTTTCAGAGTTTTGCCTTAACATTTCGTTTTCTTTTATTTCATTTTTTAATCTTCCAGGAGCCACTGAAAATTGTGCGCTCCTTGACAAAGGGTTTTAAGATAAAGTGGAAGCAGATGTTTCATACCTCAAGCGCCCAAAACTTCCTACGCCACAAAACTTCCTATCCGCAAAACTTCCTACCAGTCGTGCTCACAACCTCCCACCGCGGTTACCTTCTTTTCCATCCATTTGCTACCCCATGCACAACCATGCCAACCTTCTATGAAATCCGAGGCCATGTAAGGACGCCGAATCGGGCTGCTCTCCACCGGGTTGTTCAGGGTCTCCAAGGCAGATTCAATCTCTTCTACCAACTCATCACGCTTGTCTTTCCTCACGGGTTTCTCCTCGGGGTGGCGGGTCAGACCCATCTCCAGCTGGTACACTTTCTGCAGGGTGAAGCTATAGAAATGCACTGCTGCGTACTCAGTGGCCAACTTGATGCAGGTGCACCTCAGCCTTGTCCACCTGTGCCTGCAGGAAGGCCTGGAGGTCCGCCTGGGTTTTCTCGGGGGCACCCCGGTCCAACCCCAGGCCCACGGCATCGCTGGCATGGTACTGCACACTCTTTAGCTGCTCGCTTCGCTCCTAGAGTTCATCCTTGAGCTGTGCGATCTGCTTCTTCAGGCTGTTGATATAGTTGTGGTGCTGTTCCTCCCACTCCTGCAGGACCGCCTGGTACCCCTCTTTCCCGGTTGGGCCATTGGCCGGGGGCAGCCACAGCTTCTCCTCGTCACCTTTCAGGGTGCAGGCCAACATGTAGAGGACGGAGATGGCACAGTAAAGGAGCACAAGCAAAACCACCACCCAAGAAATCCAGGCCAGCAACCCACGACGAACCATCATCATTCAGGAATCAACCATGCGTCCAGAACTGGTGACATCCCAGAATGCAAGGGCTTCCCGGAAATAGACAACAGCAGGCATGCGTTTGGGGGTCCCTGAACTCCTTCCATCCATTTGGCCTTGGAGCCAACAAACACACCACAGAGCAGTTTTCCTCCTTCTAAAGGATGGTTTTCCAGCTCTAGGCAATGAGTTGTCACATTAATTCCCATCATAGTCTTCCCGATGTGCAGCAAAGAGGAGACCTGAGAAGAGACACAAATAACAAAAACATTTTCTGAAGATCACACGCCTAAGTTCAGGGCAACGCTCAATAGTCCTCCCATGAGACTTAGGGATTTATGATTAAATATTTTTAAATGCTTGCAGATCAGAATGCAAATGTGCATTGCCAATCTAATGCAATACAGAATAAATGACACAGTAAAAAGATCCAAAGGAAATTATCAGTTGCGTTCTAAAAAGTCCATTTAACACTGAATTGGGGGACACCAATCAGCTGTTTTCTACCTCAACTGGGACACACACACATACACAAACATACATACACACACACGCCCTGTCAGGTTTGGGCATGTATATGCCTGTGAATGACCACCAAAGTGCCTCTTGTATTGTGTTTGTGCTAAATATGGAACCCACAACTAACGAGGTCCTCTGTGTGCCAAAATATTAGCAGTACTTCTCTCTGGATCTAAGGGCTAAGGGTGGTTTTTCTGCTTTCTCTATACTTCTCCGTATCTTGTAAATTCTTCACAATGAACACATATTATTTTGATGATTAAAAAGAGAGAGAGAGAAAAAAAAAAAAAAAAAGAAGAATATCTAAGTTTCAGGCACTGGTCACCAAAGGCACCTCTTAGGCCAGGGCTGGCTAGAGGGGAAGGTGGGGTGTGAGGCACAATAAGGTGAGCTCCTGCGGAGAGCATGCACCCCATACAGGGTGGAAACTAGGAGCTGGTTCAAGGGTGTTTCCAGCTTTCAGATGACAAGATAAGGAAGCACCTGGAGGTTCAAATATATAAAAAACACAAAAGTAAATGTGGATGATAATTTATTCAACAGGAGAGAAGTTCTGACCAACTCTCCAGTTCTTTAGGTAGACAAGGGACTATATGTTTGCCATGGACAGGGAGGGGGTTGGGAGTGGAACCGAGACCAGAAATATGAGGGGCTTTCAAAAATTGGAATGAAAAAATAATGGAATTTTTCCTCAACCTTTTTGAAGCCCCTTTGTACTGTCTGTCCCCTCAGGATTCAAATTCCCAGGAATATTTCTGCCCCAACCTCGGAAAGTTCTTATAGTCCATTAACTTTTCTCTCCATTTAGTGCAGTCTACTTTATCCTGTAATCGACCTGACCTTCTCACTATCTGGATCTCTGTTCCTACGTGTTTACCTTCTTTTACATTGTACTTGTTTTGATCATAGACTGACCTCCCAGATTCTCTGAGTTTGTTCTTATAGTTTTGTTCTGTTAACAACTCTTCTTTCTGTAGACTTAATTCAGGGAGGTGCTGCCACGTATATCAATCTCTGGTTGTTGTCTGTTCTTGTTGGTTCTCGGTCCACAGAACTCCTTTTTGGATGTTTTGTAGGGGCAGGGTTGGCTTTGATGAAGTCCCATAGCTTCTGTTTATCCTGGAATGTTTTGATTACACCATCATATTTGAGTGATAGCTTTGCTGGATAAAGGATTCTTGGTTGGCAATTTTTTTTCTTTCAGGATTTTATATATGTCTCCCCATTGCCTTCTTGCTTGCATGG